GGGCACACGTGTGTGGGTGGGGTCATGCTCCAGAATTTACTAAACATTTCAAATTGGCTGAAAGTAACATCATTTTTTAAAAATTTTGAGATATAATTCACATACCGTAAAATCCACCCCCTTACATTGTAAAATTCATTGTTTTAGTATATTCACAAGGTTGTGCAACCATCACCACTACTAATTTCAGAACATTTTCATCACACCCAAAAGAAAATCCATATCTGTTAGCAATCACTTTTCCAGCTGTTAACGTTCGTAATCTCAAGGTTCCTCCAGAGTGAAGGTGGGTTGTGGGTGGAGAAATTGATTTTCATCCGAGTTTGGAAAAAGACTCAACCAACACTCCCTTGAATGTATCATCACATGTGCCGTGCTTTGTCTAACTGCCTGGTGGGCACCCCCATGAGAGTGTGCGTTCCCTAAGGGCAGACGTCAGCCAGTTCTTTTTCTGTAGCTCCAGTTCTTAGCACAGGGCCGGGTACACAAATGGCACTCAAAAGACTTGTTGGATGAAAGCATGTATAATTAATGGCAGTCTTGGTCCGGAATCTTTGGAATAAATATTGATATGCAGAACATGTCCTGGGAATTTCCAGACCACTGCACTGGCCTTTGTACCCTGCCCATGTGCCTCTGAGAATTAACTTCCCAGTTGGTATTTATAGATAAGGGTGGAAGTGACATCCATAAACAGACTGCAAAGACTGGGGTCGATGCATTTATTCATCCATCCATTTATGAACTTGTCCATCTTCTATCCATTCCAGCCAGATCCCTGTAAGGAGCACTAGGGATATAGAAATAAGATAAGAGGAATAGACATGCAAAGAGCCAATAGAAAGTGTGGTCATTGCTGTAATGGAGGTCCGTGCAAAGCCAGTGGGAGCAACCCCTGAGCCTTCCTTGGGGAGTTGAGGAGGTGGGGTCACTCTATGAGTCTCTCTTTCTTCCTTCCCCCCACCATTCCACATCAGCCCCAAGGAGGAGCCTCCAGTGTCTGTTGGACCACAATTCCAGGAGGTGGAGAGTTCAGTGTGCAGGGAATGTGGTCTAAGTTTGGTGCCACCTGGGGTGATGTCTTGGGATATCGTGCTGCCAGGGGCTATGGAGATGGGATGGGTCCAGGGCAGCTCTGGCTTGGGAAAGGGCCTGGTCAAGGAAGAGCAGCTCTTGCTTCAAACACTCCATTTTCTATGTGAGAAGGTCAGATGGATCTAGAGGGACCCTCCCCTAACCCCTGCCACCTTGGACACCCAGGCAGCTCTGCTCCAGTCCTAACAGAACACTCGCTTTCTCCTGCTCTGCCTCTAATGCTTTTGTACTTGCTTCTTCTTGCTGCTGGCGTGCTCAGGACTGCCTTTCCTCACCTGCGGAGTGGTAAGACCCTAATGTCAGGTGTGGGCTTGGGGGACGGAGAGAAGAGGCTGCTCTGCTTGCTTTGGCTGCTTCTGGCCCATTGGAGGGAGAGTTGAACATGGTCAGCCCAGCTCCCCAGGGGCCAGCATAGGAACCTGGGGCCAAAGCCTCGGAGTGATAAAGAAGGTTTCTCTCCCTGGCCTTTGCTCGGGACACATACCTTCTTGGAAGCCTTCTGGTTTAATAGATGGCTCTGCTGAGGGCAGGACCCTGTGTTCCTGCCACCTCCCCTGTTTCCTAACAACTGAGAAACTTTGTCTGGTCCAGTTGCACAGGAGCCTGAGTTTGGAGGCAAAGCTCCCCGTGGAGACACGGGGCCCTTTGTTGAGAGAGGCCTCTAGTGTTCATACCTTCATCTCCTTCCCAATTTTAGAAGCTTTAACAGGAATAAGGATTCTTGGTGGGGACAGATCTCGAGTCAAGTTGTTAGGAAAGCAAGCCACCAAATACATTAGGAGTCAGAGGTTCCTGGGGGTGCCGTGCAGCAAGAGGTGGGGAGGAGGACCTTGTTGGGCTGGTTGCTGGAGAGTGAGGATGTTGGTCTGTGAGCCCTGGACGGCTGGCAGCGTCCCAGCCTGGGAGGGTGCATGGAGGGGAGGGAATAGAGCAGAGAACGGTCAGTCGCTTAGGGGGCCATTACAGCACTCTAGTAAGGGCCGTGTCTGAGCCAAGCAGTGGGGTTGGAGGGCTGGGATGAAGGCACAGAAGTCATGGCAGTGGGACTGAGAGGCCTTGCGCAGCCTCTGGATAAGGCAGCGAGGAGGAGTCCAACTTCATTGAAATGTTCTCTGAATTGCAGGGCGAGAAGGGAGAGCCGGGCGCCATCCTGACAGGGGACATTCCTTTGGAAAGGCTGAGGGGGGAAAAGGTAATTATGTCACCAGACCCTGAAGGCACACATCCTCTTTGATAGCCCATCTCTGTTTCTGCCACAAACTATGTTCCTCTGGGTGACTAGTCTGTGTCTCTCTGTTTCAGGGTGAACCTGGAGTCCACGGAGCCCCAGGACCTATGGTAAGCCAGAGTGTCTCTCAGCTGGGTCTGGACTGGGGTTTGAGGCAATTCTCATACTTTAGTTTAATTAGACTGAGCTGTCCCAGTTGTGAAAATAAAAAGGATGTGACAAAATGTGTGTGTGTGTGTGTGTGTTAGGGTAGGCTGACTGCCATTAAATAAAAATCTCAGTTGCTTAACACAACAGCAGCATAAAGTCCACTGTGGTTGCTCCTAGTTGGGCATGTTCCCTCCAAGAAGTGCTCAGGGACCCGGGATGCTTGTAGTCTGGGACTCTGCCATCTTGTGGATTCAGGGCCACACTGACATATTCCAGCTGGTAGGCCAAGGCTGAGGAGGTGGAAAGAGATCATGAAAGATGAGGAACATCACTTCTAGCACATTCTACTGGCCAGAACCCAGTTGTCTGGGTGGGAGGGGCCTCAGAAATGTGGCTTAGCCGCGTGCCCAGGAAGGAGAGGAGAGCCGGATGGTGGTGAGCACTCATGGTGACATCACAGGTCTTGCCGGCTAAAGATTGCCACTGCCCGGGGAACCCCCCAAAGGAGCCCAGAAAGTCGCTTTGGGCGTTGTGGGTTCTGGACATGGATCTGCTGCTCATTTGCTGTGTGGCCTTGAGTAAGTCCTCTTCTCTGGGCTTCTCTTTTCCCATCTGTAAGGGAGAGTATTGAGTTAGTACTAGATGACAGGGTAGTGCCTTTCTTTCATTCCTTCTCCAGGAATCTATAATCCACTGGGCTGCTGAACAGTTTTTAAGCTACCAGTTCCCCAGGATGAACCCTAAACTTCCCTATCTTATTTCCTCCCCCCAAAAAACAAAGAAAATTCAGGTGTAGACAATCCACTATGTGTCAGATGCTGCACTGATACTTCACACAGCTCATTCATTTCATCCTCCCCACCTTCAGAGGTGATTATCAGAATCCACAATTTATAGACCAGGGAATGGAGGTGAAAGAGGTTAAGTCACTTGCCCGTTGTCACACAGCTTGTAAGTGACATCACAGGGATCTGAACCCAGCCTGCTGGACTCTGAACCCAGGTTCTGGCACTGCACCCCACTACCTCCAGTAAACACCTTCATTCTTCTGAGACCTTTCAGGCTGGTTTTTGTTTTGTTTTTTGTTTTGGCTGAAGCTGGATCTGAGGCCTGGGGAGAAAGGACCTACATTGCTCTAACAGACATATATCCTTGATGAATAGCCCATAACATCCACAGTGCATTTCTTCACAGGGCCTTCTGAGGCCTTGGTCCCTCACACCAGGCAGAACGGATGCTCTGGAGAGGGGTGGCTAAAGGCTAAGGCAGACTGGGAGAGCCATGTGTTACTGATTAACCACTTAACTAACGTCCAGTACTGTGGGAAACCTATAGTTAGCAATGCTGGCCACAGCCTGCAGCAGGTGACCAAGGAAGTTGTTCCCACCAAGTCCAGCTTATGCACAGCTTGCCAAGCACAGACAGTAAGGGGGCACCTTCTTCTTCTAACTTGCATAAAGGTGCCACGTGGGCCAGCTGTGGCCCTTGCGACTAGTGTAGCTTAGAGTTCCCTTACAAACTCACTAGAGCCCTGTTACCCATGGCCCATGGATCGGCAGCACCAGCAGCAGCTGGGAGCTCGGTAGAAATGCAGCGCTTCAGGCCCCACCCCAGACCTACAGGATCTGCATTTCCATAAGATCCCAGGTGACACCGATGCACAGTGATGTTTGAGGAGCTCTGCGCTAGAACATACCACCTGGTGTCCCCGTGTCTTGTTAACTCCTCTGTCCTTGCTTTTCTTTCCCTGAGAGTAACTTGGGCTGGGTGCTTTACACACAGGGCCTGTTTCAACTCAGTCTTTAATTGCTATTTTCCGGGGCATGACTATGTTAATGCAGCAGGAAGATGGGCCCCAGGCTTACGCCAGTCATTCTCCCGGGAGACAGGGCAAACTGGCTGCAGGGGTGGGAAGGTGTGGCCTGGAGGTAGGGCTTGTTCTGGGAAGAGGTGGTGCATTGCGGGCACCCGTATGTCAGAGGCATGAAGGTTCCTGCAGGAGGTTAGAACAGGGCGGTGGCTCTGGAAGCATGTGGACATAGAAAGCCAGCCCTGGAATAAATGGGGTGCAGGAGAATTGGGGTGCCAGGCCAAGGTTCTGGTCCTTAGAGACAGGTAGGAACAAGGCAGAAACCAGGTACTGGAGCAGGTTATCAGGACGGGCTGCAATGAGGGGTGAGGCAGGGCTGCATTGTTCCAGTGGGGGCCATGGAGAGCCCTGGGACATAAGACCTAGGGCAAAGGTCCACGTTCTGAGCTGGACAGTGTCTGGCTACCTGGGTTCCTTCATTAGCCTGACTGTCTGAGAAGGTTGGATGCAGAGACTGGGTGGGGTAGAGCTTACAGGAGGGTGTGGGGCGGTGATGGGTTGAGCATGTGCTTCCAGCTGAGCACAGAGAGGCTGGGAGACAAGGAGCAGGCAGGTGGATACCTCATACTTGCTCCTGGCCCTCCTTCCTCCCGTCGGTGGTTCACCGTCACCACTGCCCACAATGGCAGG